TTTGGGGGTCATGTAAAGTGGTGGACCTCCATAAGTTTTCTGTCATAGGTTGTAGTACCTATTACGAACTTCAAATACGAAATTTGAAACAATTCCGGTCCTTATGTCGCTAAAATCATCAAAAATACGGATTATATGGGGCTATATGAAGACCTAAAACTGCATATGTAATTTTTTCATAAGCTATAGCACCCATTACGAGCTGTAAATATGAAACTTGAGACTATTCCGCTCTATAATGTCACTAGCATCATTAAAATACCGAATATTTGGAGGTATTGTTGTATGGGGACTTTACAAAAATCTGGGGCTGGGGACTTTACAATATAATAACATACAATTTTCTGCCAAAGAAAGCGATATCCATTGCGAATTTCAAATACCGATTTTAACACAATTAAAAAAAAGAAAATACAACCGAAACCACCAAAATACTGAATATCAGGAGGTATTATATGGGGTCTATAGCAGAAGTTGGCCCATATGAGTAGATATTTGGAAATATATTTGCACCCCAATGGGAATTAATTGCCAATTTACAGCGAATTCAGTTAAAAAATATGACCAAATCCCAAACAATACTTTAAAACCAGCTATACAGTTGTGTGATGGCTTTACAAATACTTGGCGATACATTGCTCGTTTTCAATTACAACCAATATGGAAAAGTCGCCACTATGCATACTTAGAAAAGCTCCCGTAACAAAAAAAAACTTCATGTAGATTATACCACATATCAACATTTGGCTTTAGAGCTGTTATAGTTGATGAAACATAGATATATAGGAGCTATAGCTATATCTGAACCGATTTTCTCCAAATTTGATGTACTTGCTTCTAGACTGAATTCGGTCGGACGTAGCAAAATTCAGGATTGGTTGACAGATATTGGCCATTTGGTGCACATTTTACCCAAAATCTGTGGATGATATATGGGAGCTATATCCAAATCTAAAGAGATCTTGATGAAATTTGGCAGAGATATTTCTGGGCTGTATCTGATATCAAATATCATTGTTGTCGAATGCAAATTACGAATGTGGGAACTTAAACACCAAATCGTATGAAATATATATATAAGACCTATAGCTATATTTGAATCAATTTTCTCCAAATTTAATGTACTTGCTTCTAGACCGAATTTTGCCGGATGTAACAAAATTCAGATTTTCTTGACAGATATTGGCCATTTTGTGCACAATCGGTTCGGTTAAAGATATATATATATATATATATATATATATATATATATATATATATATATATATGGGAGCTATATCCGAATCTGAACAGATATTGATGAAATTTAGCAAAGGTATTTCCGAGTTCTATAAGATATCTGGTACCAAATATCATTGCTGTCGAATGCATATTACGGATTAGAGGGACTGAAACACCAAATCGGATGAAACATATGTATGGGAACTATAGCTATGTATGAACCAATTGTCTCCGAGTTCGATGTACTTTCTTCTAGACTAAATTCGGTCGGATGTATCAAAATTCAGGTCTTTTGGACTGATATTGGCCACATGGTGCACTAATAACCCGAAATCGTTTGAAGATAAATGTGGGAGCTACATCCAAATCTGAACCGATCTTTCTAAAATTTGGCCGAGGTATTCCGAGCTCTATAAGATATCTGGTACCAAATATCATGGTTGTCGAATGCACATTACGAATGTGAGGGACTTAAACACCAAACCGGATGAACCATATTTATAGAGCTATAGCTATATCTGAAACGATTTTCTCCAAATTTGCTTTTAGACTGAATTCGGTTGGATGTGCCAAAATTCAGGTCTATTGGACTGATATTGGCCACTTGGTACTTGGTGTTAAACCGAAATCGTTTGAAGATATATGTGGGAGCTATATCCAAATCTGAACCGATCTTTATAAAATTTGGAAGAAATAGGTCATTTGGACTAATACTGGCTATTTGGAGAATAATTAACCTGAAATCGATTAAGGATATACATGGGAGTTATATCTGAACTGATGTTAACAAAATTTGATACACTTATGTCGGAGCTGTATCTGACATCTGGAACCAAAGATCATTGTTGTGGAATGCATATTATACATGTGAGGGACATAAAACCCCAAATCGAATGAAACATATATATGGGAACTATAGCTATATCTGAACCGGTTTTCACCAAATTTGATTTACTTACTTCTGGACTAAATTCGGCCGGATGTGCCAAAATTCAGGTCATTTGGATTTATATTGGCCGTTTAGTGCACAATTAACACGAAATCAGTTGAGGATATATGGGAGCTTTATCTAGATCTGATCCGATTATCACCAATTTTAAAAGGGTTCGCCCTTTTCCCAAATAAATATTGTTTGGAAAATTTTATCTCAATCGGATAATAAATGCGACGTGAATTTTGTTTAGAAAAATACATTAGACGGACAGACGAACTGACATGCATAAATCTACTCAGAAATTGACTCTATGAAGATCCTCAAAAGTAAATATGGGTCTATCTCGCTTCCTTCTCCATGTTACAAACAAAAACATAAAGACATAATACCCTTGCCACTATGTGGTGCAGGGTACAAATACGAGCTAGCTTATACTTTGTCAATTGTATGTGAGACGCTCGACAAAGATGTGAAAAGTCGAAGAAATTCTATTCTGATTTAGAAATGTTTGTTAATCTGAATCTAGTTCTAGTTCAACTAGGAATAGTTCAACTAAACGGATTCGGTTTTGCTCAAATATATTTTAGGTCTTAAGAAAATTTCAAATTGTGCATGGATATAAATCGATTTTCGTCACATTATTCAACCTAATTGTCTATAGCTCTCTTTTGGTAATCCCAAATTCTATAAGTTATACTTACTAAGAAGTGTTTATTAAGGACCAAATTTTGGTATATCCATAACGATACGTGGCCACCGGTTTTAAATAGGTTTATGCAGGTTTTCGATCCGAATTAGCTGTTGATAGGTATTTTTTGTTTCTAGACCCTCTCTAGTACCTAATAAGCACCGGTCCTACTAGCGAAACATAGAAAAATTCGACATATTTATATAGCCCCCATATAAGGGTAACTCCCAATACTTGGCCATATTTTTAGAAGAATTTTCTGTAATTCTCTAGCAAAATATGATTGGCATAAGTGTAGTCTAGACCCCTTAAATCGTCCCCCGCAACTTAAAACATTTTTGAGATTTATTCTACATTTACTACAAAAACTGCATTTAGTAGTTGAAGGTATTAATTGCTAATAATGTTTCTTTCAAACACTTATTAATATGGATCATCGCCTAAAAAAGAAATCAGGACCTACATATCTGTATCACTCTGATAGAAGTAATGTTGCTTATTCACATCACTGTGATTCAGAAATATGGCTGTCAATTTAATTAATTAAGGCTCCACTGTCTGTAAACGGTTTTGATTTTAAGTTTTCATTTTGGTCAGAATTTTCGCATTTCGGTCTTTCTATGGGAATAATATTTTCTCGATAAAATTGTAATAATTGTAACTAAAAGGAATATGCCGATCTAAAGAAGTCTAGATATTAACATTGTATTTTTCAAACAAATTTTAATTTCATACTCTTTAGACCTTTTCTTGCAGGTAAATTTAAACTAAAGTCATTTATTTGGTGGAGAAACGATTCAACTATATATTCTGTTGTTTTGGAGTTTTTAGCAAATTAATTTCACAGTTTCTCCTGCATTTTAGTTGTTTTTGTACTCAGTAAAAGGGACTTTTTTAATAGACATATTTTATATCGATCACTTTCTCATACAGAAATTGCTTCATTCATTGCCAACATTGGAGTTCTACCAATGATTGTCCGTATTAAAGTTTCCCCTTTCTTTCAACTCTCTATTAAAAATTTTCAACAGAGGTCTACGTTTCGGTTGTAAGTGCCTCAAATGGGAAATTATAAGACATTCATATCATATCATTGCGTCAGTCTCCTAGGACCTTAGCTCGTCGTTAAAAACAGTCTGTACTACATAAACCCTGCCCTTGTTGTTTTGAAAATAAAAATATGTTATTAATCCAAAGCTATAATTTTTACCACCTACAACCTAACAAAAGCTTTTCGTTTGCAAACGGTCATCGAAAAAAGAGAACACAACATGCATTCGTTCAATTTCCCATTTAAATTATTCAAGGAGGACATTAAAATTATGTCATTCAAGTTTTGTGTATTGTATAGCTGTCACATGACACTTGACATAAAAAGAAAACAGGAAGACAACAACAACAACAAAAACACATGGCTGAAAACCTTTTCCTCCTCCTTGCCATTGCAATCGAAGAAGCCAAAAAACATTCACCCAAAACTGAGTGTAGTAATAAAAAACAGATCCATATTTTGCCAAGCCTCAGCCAAGGATGTCAACATCATTCTAAAATTTTATGAGCCTATAAAAGCGGAAGTGAGCGTGGCCACAGACAAATCTTGTTGCCGCCATACAAGTACCGCATAGGCGACGGCCATCAATACAGCATCGACAACTGAGTTTTCTGGTTTTCAATTATTTTTTTCTTAAAGTTTATATATTTTTTTAGATTTTCCAACTTCCACCTCCTTTACTCTGTAGTTTTTTGTAATGGTTTTTTTTTCTCAGTTATATTATTGTAGTCGCAACGTTTTGCCGGTTTTTTTTTTTTTGGTAAAGGATTGTTCCAAAAGAGAGAAAAAAATACATATTTTTTATAGATTTGATTTTGCTGGCCTTTTTCCCAGTTGTTTGCTTTCCTCTTCGAATATGTTTTGGGAAAAATTATGACCAACAATAATGTTGGTCCTGCCTTTACCTTACTATTTTTTGCGAAAAAAAAATTATTGGAACGGATGAAAGGAAAAATGGGAAGGGGTAGCAATTTATGTCGGAAAGATTTTAAATATCAGAATATTTAATAGTACTTTGTAAGGTAAAATAGGGATATCTGAAATTGGGTGGAGATTTTAGCAATTCCCATTGATATATTAACATTTTTTACTCAATTTTCACCTACCTTTTAATAATCGTCATGTTCAAAATCTGAAAAATAAATGAAAATTGTCATTAATAATCAAAAATACACATATGAAATGTACAATTATAATTTAAAAATTTTAAATAAGGATGAGATGAAAAAACTGCAACCAAATTCAGACTGCTGTCATTTCTAAGCCATTCGTCCGACAGCAAATAAAATTATTCCAGTGAAAGTTCTTTATATTGTTTACAAGCGTACAAAAGCATTTTGATGGGAATTTTCCAGAAAAAAAGTTATTGGTGATGGAATTCAAGCGTGATAGTGTGATTTCTTTATATTTGGCTGGAAAACCACAAGTGGCTATCGTTAGAGCACTCCAGCATTTAAATGTGAATAAATCTTTTGTGTCTCGTAACATCGCCCGTTACCGTGATACTGGTAGCGTAGCCCGACGTCAAGGAATTGGACGGAAGAAAACACCAACATCAGCAGAAATGGTTCGAAAAGTAATAAAGCGACTTGATCGAAACCCGCTTCACAGTGGCCGAAAAAGGGCTCTTGAGCTGAACATATCGCAATATTCCATTCGGCAAACATTGAAAAATGAGCTCGGGGCAAGCCATTGAAATTCCAAACCGTGCAAGAACTTACACCGCAACAGAAAAAAAAAATAGACTCAAAAGAGCTAATAAGTTGCTTCGCTTGGCCGAAAATGGTCAACTGCCGAATTTGGTTTTCTCCAAAGAGAAAACATTCGTTGTCCATCAGTTTGTAAACAAACAAAATGATCGGGTTTACTTGCCAAAGAGATTAGCTGAAAATGTGCACCTTCGGTTGGCCATCAGAATTCATGCGCCGGCCTTGGTGATGATGTGGGCCGCCATAACAGCCGATTGTCGCACTCCGCTCGTATTAATCGACCGTGGCATCAGAATAAATGCCGAATATTATCGTGAAAATATTCTGGAGGGTGTATTAAAGCCTTGAGCACACAAACATGTTGGCCGCAGACCATGGACATTCCAACAGGACTCAGCACCCTCCACCCAATAATTGTTACAAAATGAGGTTCCATTTCCAGCGCACAATGACCACCAATATCTCCGAATACCAATCCGTTGGACTATTGTGTTTGGAGTATTTTGTCGATCACCTCAAGCAAGCCCTTAGCCGGAAATGAGCCAAAATACCGCGGAGCAAATTTCTGATGCAAATTTCTGATGCTATTTCCGACATTCTTGCTTTCATTTAATAAAATTTAACAAGAAAAATACCCTCCATCATTTGAATACTCTCCACCATTTGGAACAAATTTGGCAATTCTCAAAAACAATAAAATCTATTAAAAATTCTGTTTAAATCTAAAAGATACAAAATGTAGATATTACATTAGGGTCTATACGACGCCATGGACCTGCACAGGTAACTTTTGTTATAAGCCATTACATATTCAATTGCGAAACTTAAAAAAAATCTGTGAATAATGTCGCTAAAATCATCAAAATAGCGAATATCGAGAGGTATCGTTATATGGGTGCTATACGAAGAAGTCGACCTGCACAGAAAATTTTCTGGATTAGGCTGTAGTATCTATTACGAACTTCAAATATCAAATTCGAAACAATTCCGGTGAATAATGTTGCGAAAATAATCAAAATACCGAATATCGGGAGGTACAATTATATGTTATCTACAGCAAAACGTTGTCCTACATGACCCATTTTCAATACCAAAAGTCCGGCAGACATAATGTACATTCGAGCGAAATTTTATCAATCTACTTAATTTCGTTCGGAAGCTAGAGTGATTTCCGAAGACGGATAGACGCATGGACATCGCTTAATCGACATAGAATTTTGTGCTGATCAAGAACGTATATACTCTGTGGGGTCTAAATCCTACATTTCGAGGTGTTACAAACGGAATGACAAACTTAATATGACCTCCATACTATGGTGGAGCGTATATAAAGTAAAACTCAAATATCGGTTTATGCAAAGAAAATATTTTACGATATAGAGAGATATCGAAAAATAGTTATTTTAGCCCAAAACATCTCTTCTCTTTACTGTCTATTACTCCATTTACTGCGACGCATTTTGAAATCCATGTATAACCATAAGGCGCTCAAAGCACAACTTTTATGTAGCATACATTTAGGCCTTTCAACATTTGCACACAAACTACGGTCGCTATTTAGTATATGTAACTTTTTTTTATGATTGTAGATGGATGCATTATCCCATAGTTTTTTATTGTCTTTCTTTTGTTTTGCTCTTTCGTTCGCATTGCCATTCTTGTAGGAAACATGAAATGAATTTAAATACGTTTTTCTTGTTCCGTACACTAATGGAATTGTATCTGCTAAAATATGCACATATAATTACATGCGAAAAAAAACAGTGAGGTAACAGAACAGAACGAAGAGAGTTCAAAAGAAAAGCTATTTCAAATACACGCATACACACACAAAACTTAGGTATGTTTGGAAAGTTTTGAGTTTTAAAGAAAGTGATTTCCCTAAAACACATTTGGCGAACATTTTATTAAGGACCATTGTTAATAAGGATTTTTGTTTTCAAAATAGTGCCGCCAAAAACATGGACGTGATATGCATATGTAAGTGGCTCGACATGACAAACAAATGTTAACAAAATGTAAGTTTTTGAAAGGGCAGTTAAAATTATATCAAATGTGAAGATGCCTTTTATGGGGTATCTAAAATGTAACGCACATGTGGAAAAATCTCCTCCATTGCTCAACCCAACACATGACAATGTTGTGAGCCAAGCCTTTGTAAAACATTTTCCAGAGGTTTTTCTACAAACGTAACCAAGTAAGGCAAATTTTACCTAACCTCTCTGGGAGGAAGTGATGTCGCTTGAATAAGCAGCCCACACACGCAGTGGCCGAAAAATGGCTCGCGAGCTGAAACTATCGCAATATTCCATTCGGCAAATATTGAGAAATGAGCTCGGGGTAAAGCCATTGAAATTACAAAAAGTGCAAGAACTTACATCGCAACAGAAAAAAATAGACTCAGAAGAGCTAAAGAGTTGCTTCGCTTGGACGAAAGTGGTGAACTGCCGAATTTGATTTTCTCCGATGAGAAAACATTCGTTGTCCAGAAGTTTGTAAACAAACAGAATGATCGTGTTTACTTGCCAAAGAGGTCAGCTGAAAATGCGTACCTTCGGTTGGCCATCAGAACTCAAGCGCCGGCCATGGTGATGGTGTGGGCCGCCATAACAGCCGGTGGTCGCTCTCCACTCGTATTAATCGGCATCAGAATAAATGCCGAATATTATCGCGAAATTATGCTGGAGGCTGTATTAAAGCCTTGGGCACGCAAACATTTTGGACGCAGACCTTGAAGATTCCAACAGGACTCAGCACGCGCCACTCAAGAATGGTTAAAAAATAAGGTTCCTCGCTTCATTTTCAGCGCACAATGGCCACCAAAATCTCCGGATACCAATCCGTTGGACCATTGTGTCTGGAGAATTTTGGAAAGCAAGGTTGGCACTAAAAAATACAAATGTGTCGATCAGCTCAAGCAAGCGCTTCGCCGGGAAGGGGCCGAAATTCTGCATAGCAACATTCGGGAAGCGTGTGACGGTTTTATTGGCCATAATTCGTGCCAATTCGAAAAAATTTAAACTTATTCTAAAATTTGATGCTATTTTCGACATTCTTTGCTTTGGCCTCGCAATGAAACGCCATTTGATATTTATGGTCCTTAGCGAGTAGAAGATTTTAGTCCATATTAGATGTTTAATATGTGTATGATCTCTCTCACAGAAAAAATACTCAGAAACCTATTGAGAGAGAATTTTCTCTCCCACGTACAAATGTTGGAAAAAGTTATGGAACAACATTCAGTAAAATCCAGCACTCAAAATAGGTGACCTTAATAAGCTGATGATACCGAACGATTTGTACTAAGGCATTCTTAAAATTAAACATTTGCAAACTATCAGTGACTCAACTGTCAAAATTACTCTCTTCGAAGATAAAGCGTGGTTTAATTGAATGTAATTTTCATTTTTCATTTTTTCTCCTTCTCACCTTTTTTCCGTTTTTTAAATTTCCTTTAACTTTTCCATTCCCTAAAAGTTAAAAGACCACAGTAAACTATCATGCATCTCTTATATATATTGGAAAATAAACCCGCCAATCGAAAATATGTTTAATTTCATTTAGTTTATAAAGCTATTAATTTCAAATAACATTTTCCAAGAAAAACAAAAACAATAGTTTATGGCGGTAGTATTTCCAATTCTATCTCCGAATCATCGATCTCTTTCTCTTGTCTCTTCTCTTTCCTTCAATTCATTTCTTTTTATTAGTCAATTAAAACAGCTGTCGCTGCAAATTTCCTATGTTTCATCCCAAGTAATTAACCATATTTTAAGAGATTTTATTGTTTTGAATTTATTGGGATGTTGGTTCGAACGTTCCTTGGTTTGGTCATTCGATTTCAATAGATGCTCTTCCAATCGCTTTTCCTTCCCATCGAGGAGAAACAAAAAAAACAACAAATTTCAATGATTCCGTACTTTACTCGCTGCTCCTCCACCATAAGACATTTATTTGTGGCACCATAACTGTCGAGTGATGATATTGGAATGATATTAACATTTTGCTGGGAGGGGTGGAAATTGTTATTTTTTCATGAACAACAAGTATTGAAAACAAGTAGCAAAATCGCCGCCACCGCCACCGCCACCGCCCGTGAATTCTGAAAACGATTCTCATTCTGTGGGTGGGTAGCTTTACAAAAATTATTGTATTTCACTACGTTTTGTTTTTCTTGTCTTCCTGCATTGGTTTTGGATACAATTTTTTTCTGCATATTTAAAATGTTTCTTGTGGTGGTTGTCGTTTTGTCCATGGACAACGTTCTGTTGGTTCCTCTGTGAGAGTACATCCTCGTTGTATGTATATGTTTAACATTCGGTGTGTCTGCAGCACACCAGATGAGTTGTTACGGACACCTTTAGCGCTGGTGTTCCATAAATATTGCAAATGAAATGAATAAAATCTTCAAACGGCAATATTG